AGGAGTAATATATCCTTATATTTAATAACTATAAATTTACCAGTTTAATCCTTCTATCTATTCACAGATTTCTTTGTAACCAATGGCTGGAAATAATGCGTCACTGCCTAGGTCTTCAGAGACAACGTATTTCATCACCACAAAATGCAAACCAGTTAATACGATACAGAGTATGTTTATGATAAACATATCACTAATTTGACAACTCATTATACTTCTTGTATTGAAGCGAAGTGGACTTCATGGTAGTAGTAAATAAAAATAATATATTTGTAATATCCCAATGAGTAGAAAATTGGATTTTCTGACGTTTCGTGACTTAGTGTAAGTCACTTCTTCAGAGAATAAATAACCAAATTAAAATTAATTCAAGTTTAAATAGTACAACGGAACAATGCAAGAATAATATTTGATCAATCATAAACAGGTCTGAACAAGTTGATGTCATGTCATTTCTGTCAAGATGATTCATAAGTGATATGTAGTAAATTTGTGTATATGTATGTGTGTACTGTTTAAGAATGAAAAATTGGGTGATCTTTATGGTAAGAAAGGATATAGTTTAATTTGTAATATGGTAGTGTGAATTGTATATATGATCAGACTGAATGGCTAGGATAGATGATCCCAGTAGGATGTATGGTGAGGCCTTACTTTCTATTGAGAGAAGTAGGATTAAGCATTATATGGAACGCCTCAGCTACCCTCCTTTCTTTGTAGTTGGAAAAGCCTTTTTGCAATATTTTGATATTTTTAAAATCGATTTGGTGGTTGTTGAAAATGGCATGAACTGCTATTGCCGATTTTAAAAATATCAAAATATTGCAAAAAGGCTTTTCCAACTACAAAGAAAGGAGGGTAGCTGAGGCGTTCCATATAATGCTTAATCCTACTTCTCTCAATAGAAAGTAAGGCCTCACCACACATCCTACTTGGACCATCTATCCTAGCCATTCAGTCTGATCGTATTTACAATTTCACATTATCATATTACAAAGTTAAACTCTATCCTTTCTTACCATAAAGGTCACACAAGTTTTCATTCTTAAACAATGCACATATACATACACACAAATTTACATACATATCACTTATGAATCATCTTGACAGAAATGACATGACATCAACTTGTTCAGACCTGTTTATGATTGATCAAATATTATTCTTGCATTGTTCCGTTGTACTATTTAAACTTGAATTAATTTTAATTTGGTTATTTATTCTCTGAAGAAGTGACTTACACTAAGTCACGAAACGTCAGAAAATCCAATTTTCTACTCATTGGGATATTGCAAATATATTATTATTTATAACAATCAACTCAATGCTCAATTTATTCGAAATTATCAAATCAAACCTTCATGGTAGTAGCTTGATTTATATTTGATAACTTAGTTATAAAAATTACACTAATTAATTCAGTAGTTTGATATTTCCAAGTTTAAACAGAATCTTTGTTTGTAATGAAGTATTAAGACAGATGAATATACCAAGTACCTTTTAGTATTGAACGATATCCAGTAGAAATTCATTTAAAAGAATCGAAATGTATTAAATGTTCATTGTATATTATAATGTGATAAAAGGAGACCAGATAACATAACTAGAAGACACGTAAACTAAACTCATTTTACACAACCTTTCACTAGTTACATTCAATCACTAAATTTACTTCATAAAATGTGTTGCCTCATTTAAGTTATTGACCAGATCAGAAAGTTGATTGACAAAATCTGTTCAGCTTTCAAGACTAGATAACACTGACTTTTCACTAGATTATTCCAAAAGAACTACCGTATTTACCCCCATAAAAACTCACTGGAAACTAAACGATCTTCACGAATCTCTTATTTTGATGATAATTAAGTTCTGATTGGTGACTAGCTTCAAGTATTTTAGTGTAAGACTGTGACTGAAATAGTTCATCTATGTTAGAAATGATCTCATTGTATCACGAAATCAATAAAGTTAGAAATGTTGACCATTGTTTGTCAATTCAGAGGTATGTGGCTGCAATTTTCACCACAACGTCTAAAGTTACTGGGTTTGATCCACAGAGCAACTAGCCATTCCCACTATCTCGAAGTCCTAAACTAAAAAGGAGCAACTTACCAATGTACTTTAGTACTCATGCTCCTTCAACTAAAGTTATCTCGCGATGAAAACAAACTTCTATTGGTTATTCTTAAACTTAGATGTTTAAAGTTCCAAAAATTTGATAATCTCAAAAAATTGTTCATTGCTGTAAAATATGTTTTTCAGAGTCTGGACTATATAACAAAACGATATGGAACATTTACAAGTGTATCATCTACTAACCGAACAAGTGATTATAACTCATTGGTTCACTCTGATAAACTTATTTTTAACTCATTCGAACAGAAATCGATAAAATTATCGAAGTTCAATTCAGCAAGGAATATCAACAAAACACCTTTTAAAAAAGAATATCCGGATACATTCCTTTCAAATGACAAGAATAAAGAGTAAGTGTCACTGAAATAAATTTGGGCTTAAATGATATGTTTGTAATTAGAAAAAGAAATCAGTAGGAATTTGTTAAATAATTGACTGATTTTCTGTACTGTAAATACTTCACAAGTATTTTACTCATTACATTTAAACTATGAAAAATAGAGGGCAGAATTTATTGTTAAAAGACGGTGACAACTGCATTTTATCAGTTGATTAACTAATCACTAAGCTGGCCTTTAATTAGAGGAAATAGCTAACGCTTGGGATTCTGTTTGTACTTAACATTTTTTCAGCTGGATTACTTTATCACTACCAAAACGTTAGCATTAACTGGCCGATATCAATTGAACTGAACCTTTCTGCAATTTCAGAACTAACTGTAAATCAAATGGTGTATACTTGGACTGGTGAAAACAATTGTTTGAAGTTACAAGTTGGCAAAATATAGATGTGAAAGAACAGTGACATTAAGATGAACTATAGAGTAGTGAAGATTTTCAGCCCAAAATAATTTTCGTGGTGCTACGTTCTCTGTGCTGGATGGTTTGATAGTAAAGCTTTCATTGTTTTTCTGAAAAACATCAGCACAAACTTCAGGTAGAAGTGGGGTAATCTTGGTAATGATAACCTTAGTAAATACACATACGCATACGTTTTCAAACTCTACTTTTCAGTAGTACAAAATTATTACACTGTTGTTGCAAACAAAATATTCCTTTCACAGTTATGCTAAGTGTTTATTCGGTAGTTAAAGCGCCGTTAATTGACAATTCACGGGTTAGAACCCTGATTCATTTACCCTGGTTTTTGGCAACCGGATAACTATCATTTACACCAAATGAATTCGCTACTAGACTATCATAATTAGCCATTATCGAGCACTTTTCATAGAATTATGCCCTTAAAATTTTTAATATATGCATGAATGCTCACCGTGATAAGAAGTAACTTGACAGTTGATTCTTTTCCATAGAGTTTCTAGGATTCTGCTATAAAGTATTAAAATCGATTAAAAAATTAAGTGTAAGCTTTCTGGAGGACAACAAGTCATATTTATTCGGTGAGTACTGGAGATAATATCTGACAGTTAAAAACGAAGTAGATGAAATATAGCTGTAAATTAATATTTTACACCAAAATCATGGTTAAGACATTTTTGAGCAAATTACATGATTATTATTTGTAATTTTTCGCACTTGACGAAAATAATAACGATGCATATAATTCATTTATAGACCACTTATCATAAGAAATCACAAATCTTCGGAAGCAATACTTATGAATGAAAACTTTACAGGATCATTAGGTACTGAAAACAATAAAAAAATGATGATGGAAAAACATTATTCAATTATTAATGCAACAGATATTTTTCCAGTTGCATGTCCATTGTTACTTCGATCATGGTTGAATGAGATAAAACACTACAAATATTTTAAACATCTAAACAAACTTAGACAACTAGATGAGACTACATTGGAACACAGTGCTGAACTGAACTATGATGAAAATAAATCATTAGAAAAAGCTTTTATGAATGTTTTGATTAATCCATCAAAATTCGACAATCAGTTTTTGTCAACTTTAAGCATGATATCAAATAAAGGCTGTCGATGCAGTCGTCATATACCACCGGCTATCACTGACTTAGAATTCGATATATTCTTGAATAAATTGATAAAATCATATCAGGCTGCAGTGATAATCGTTTACGATTCCAGGTAAGACATATTTTCTTAAGAACGTATTTCAATGAAACTCTGATTCAATTTGTACCCGGTATTTACGTTATATATTTATAAAAACCAATGAGTTTATCAGATTGAATTAGCCTTTAATTGTATTATTATTAAAGCCTAACTTGTAAGCCGGTTCTCCAACTCTGTAATGAACGAATGAGCCATGAACATAAATTACTCGTTTATTTTCGTATACTCTACTTAGACTAATGCCATTTGAACGACAGCGGTAATGAAAAGCCAAACACGAATTTATTTCATGTATTCGTTTACTCAGACACACATTAAGATGAGAGTTGGAGAGGACTGATGCGTCAATTCAATTTAACTAAAACGTGACCTAACATTTACAATTACGAAAGATAAAAGCAAGCATATAGACACATCATACTATCAAACGTACATGCTCAAGATCATATACAAGAATGTTAAAATGACTGAGAAGCTTAATATAATTCATTAGCCCAAAGGTAAGGGTAAATGGTGTAGTCAACAATCTGATTAAATAAAATATTGAGATTACTAAGGTAACCAAACTGATTGAATCAATACCTAGAAGCTAAATCAGATAGCATTACTATTCAATTAATCGAAGATGAATATTTTACGAGAAATTTATAGTATTGTTTATGTGTAAAATATTCAACCTGACTAGTACCTGCAGGATATGTTCTTGTCAATGAAGTTTTTAGCCTCATATTGACTGACCCAGTGATATCATCACCTCTGAATTTAAGCTGAATAAAAAACCTATTTTTATTTGTTGTAGTTTCTCCGTTTTTTTTTACCTTCACATTCCTCATATTTCTCAATAAACTCTTGTGAGTATCCGTTATTCTTTAATTATTCATTACTTCCTCTTCTAGTGTATTGATAGTACATATTCTTTCTGTTCTGTGAAATATTTAATTGGTTACAATAATAGACAAGATAAAATTAATTGATTTAGTATTTTAATATAAAACAGATTACTGGCTTTATTTACGTCTAGAGATGAAGGTTACTGACAGACGATTTATTATTTGAATAAATATTAATAAATTTGCATTTATAAAAATGAAATTTAACACATACAAGAATCCGTTTATTTATTTATTTTAACAAATAGATATTGGTACAAAGAGGCACCAAATACATATACGTCACACAGATCTCATTTGATATGTGTGAGGGCTATGATACTGCCCGGGTGCCCGGACCGAAGCAGGTGGTTTTCTTGGGGGGCCACACCCGGAGCCTTCGACCTGAAGGTCTGATACACAAGGCAGTGGAGCATCGTAAGGAGATGCAGTCCCATGGTAGCCGGTGACCAACAGTTGGTTCATACGCCATTTGTTCCTTCAGGATACTGGAGCCCATGTGCACTATTGGTTTGGGATCAGGGTTTTCCGAATCCCCTATGTGGACTCTCCATGTCCACCAAACCGGTTAAAGCGCCGGACAATAATCCGTGAAATAATAAAATAAATTTTGCTTTGATAAACCACAACAAAATAAATGGAAAGAGTTAGTATATTTAAAGTTATATTTTTCTTTGAATGGTCATGATACTATAAATATTACTATTTGTAATTATAATGATTTATTTACATTTAGGTTGCCAGATGGGATTCATATTGGTATATGTGATCTTCTTTGCCAGTTATACACAAAACAACAAAATACATTACCAACAAGTAGTCGTACTGTGAACGATAAGATTCATATTGTGACTGCATGTGATCATTTCTCAGAGAGATTATACGATAAATACAAAATTGCAGGAACTGGAGCATGTGCATCAATATCTACGAGAATGGCAGACTATCGATTCTTGATTTATGATATAGCGCAAAATATAAATAATAATGAAAATAATTCTCAGGAATGCCCGTTATTACTAAAAAGATATAATGGACGACCGAAACCGGGTGACTGTTTAATTTTTATTCAGGGGAAACTATGTTTTATCGGGTCATCTTTCACAGGCTATGAAGAGTTACCATGGTCAAAAGAACAGTTGGATAAAAAGGTGGCCCAGTGCAGAAACCAATTGACTAAACAAGGGTTTTCAATACCTACTGATTTTCAATTTGTTTAATACGGAATTTTCTTGATAGTTTTGATTTCAATTAAATGATAATAAGACTTCTGAAAAATAGGTTTAATTGTAGTTTCATTCAATTTATAGACCATTAGAATTGTGAGACAGACATATCATCATGGAATAAGAGCACTACTATTAAAACAAATAGTACTGAATTTATATGAAGATAATCAGTGAAAAAAAGTCAATAATACGTACCTTCACTATTTTGGTGGAGTTTTGTTGCTCAGAGAAACCACCAAAATCATCCACCTGAGCTACAAATCTTCTCCACCATCTCAACTTTCACTATACTGTAGTATTTCAACATCACGAGAAAAAGCTTGACAGGTAAGATCTAACATGTTGTGTACACAACATATTATTGGGAATCAGGTGTATTAATAATTTATTATGTAGGGTATATTCACTTAACTTGGAATATCATGTCAAGTAAACAATTTGTACTTTCCAATTCAATAATAACTCGGTATGCTTAAACAAACTATAAAAGCTACATGTTACACTGTTAAATCAAACTAACATACCAATTCTTTGCAAATCTTCTGAACAAGGAATAGATAATCTGAACATGAGAACTTTTACAGTTTTAATGCAACCATACAGGTTGATATTCCCCCCTAATAGCATAATTATAAGTTGAATAATAACTGAAATAGGATAGTTAATAGTTTTGTATATATGATGTTCAGTATTTAAAAAAGAAAAAAAATGAATATTTCCAAATCACTGATGCCTTTTTCCTATAATATGTAATATATAACAGATACCAACAAACGGTTCAAATACAGTATTTATGGCACGTTAATGTTTGACCACTAGACACTGTACTACCCAAGATTTCAATCATCATCCTCATCATTACAATTATGTCAAATTGTCTTTTGCTACCAGCCCACTTTTGAGGATGATGTAAATTGTTATTGATTAATGTATTAATCTTGAAGTGTTATCTGAAATTTGACAAATTCAAAGCATGTATTAAATATTTTTAGTTGTCCTAATCAATATGTTCATAAAACAAACACTTAGTATCATTTCGGTCTAAATGAGATATACCACATTTGTATACTTGAAATACATTAGTTGATTCACACAAAAACAAGACGGGAAACGAATAGCATCGTCCAGTACTCATATGATGAAGTTGAATAGGAATACTGAAGGTAAGCATTTCCAAAAAACACCATAATTTGTACGTTAACTAAGAAAACAACTCTTTTTTTAGCTTTTCCATTCTATTTCTTTAAATATTACAAAAAAGGAAGTAATCATATGCATTTAATGAAAAGAATTATCAAAATTAAAATCGTAGAATTGAAAAAAATTACGGTTAACTCGGGAAGTATGAAAGCGGGAATAAATAAAATTGAAAATCAAAAAATAATAAAACACTGGTGATAAAAAAACCTTAAGTAGATGTTTTATCGTTTGGCCATGTTTTATAGTTTATTAATACAACATCACGTACATATGTTGGGTAAGTAGTTGCAAAAAAGTCAATAAGTGTGATGTTAATACCATCTGGTCCAGCTAACTGATCTGGCTTATTTAACCAGTGTTGATAATACTTTCCAGCTATTTTAGCTAAACGGTGAACTGAACTAAATGGATGCAGTAAAATGAATGGTAAAGTTGGAGTAAGAACACCTTGGTGTACAGAGAAAATATTATCAGGTCTATGAAGATATGGTCTGAAATGAAACAATCAGAAACGATAAAGGTAACAGTTAGACATTTCCGTCGAAATTAAGTAAGGTATTTTAGAGACGAAAAAACTAGCGAACAATATCTCTAACGTATAGCTGATAAACAGATTCATAGCTCTCATTGAATTTTATTTCTATTTTTTATAGTCAATATGATGATTCGCTTAACAGCTGTTTATGAATTTCATGCACTGTACGCTCGGATACTAAATACAACATCAAGTCTGTTGGACAAGTGAAGTGAAACATTCAGTTTAGTATATTAAGATTCACTTGGAAATGTCTGAAAAGATCCACAGAACCATTCGATATCAGTGGTAATTAGAGTATTCCGTTAATTAGAGTATTCATTAGTAAAAGTTAAATAACCAATCGTAGTATATTTTGGTTCAAGTTGTAGAATCTCAGAAACTTTTGACTAAAAACCATATATCTTCTTAATCTGTAGTAAACGAGAACACAGGCTGTGACTACTAAATGCATTTTAATGCAACATTACAGAATATCTTGGTAAAATCTAAGAACCATACAGTAAATACTTTATTTGAAAAATGTTAATCAGTTGTCACAGATTTCATTGTTCCTTCGTTTCCGTACCAACCACTCCGTGTTCTCGTTCTCTTCTCTTCGATCTTCTTAACCTTCTGCCACCAGGCATTTCACTTTCGATTAGTGATACTTGCTACTTATATATGTTGATATCAGTAGCAAACATCACAGATCTACTTTGATTTAAATGAACAGGTAGTGTAGTTCCTCCGATGCATATAACAAGCTTATTTTATAGACTGGTACTTGATGATCCTCTATGCTGATGTTTTTTAACAAGCAATATTGCCAACTTTAACATTGATAGCTTAATATAGCATCTTAGTATCCCACATATGTGTTAATCCTAAGATATATTGTGTGACGGTATGTTCTCAAAATTTACCAACTTGCATAAAAACCAAAAACAAACTGCAAAAAATAAAGACAGTAATGTTTCTTATTGCCAGGTCGGGAAAACTACATAGTTTAGGATACATATAAAAAAGCCGATCTTAGTTCTAATTTTTTTGGGGTAGGAAACAAGAAAACAATCGACTGTCAATAGTTATTATTTATAGTAATCTCTCAAATAAGAGTAACAAAGAAAAATAAACCAATAAATCTGAACCTAATACAGACATAAGGACAAACAAGATATTTGTAAATAAAATAGAAAATTACAACAGCAGTAAAAGATGAATAAACCTTACTTAATATGTTTATTTAGGTATGAAATCATAGCCCGTGGACCAACAGTTTCCGGCCAAAATGATTCTATACTACTAGAAGGCCAAAAGTTTGGATGGATCCACTCGGGGGGGTTTCGATGGCGGGATATAAATATGATTTGTTTCTTAGCACTCCAAAGTTCTTCTAACGTTGGAATATTGTTTTTATAAGGGAACATAACATTACCTAAAATCTGGAATAAATGAGTGGAAGAAAACACATTAAGGCAATAAGAAAATGAATGGTGGTAATGCAGTTTACTAAAGGATTACATATTTACGCAGTGAGGCTTCAACCAAACCATGTGAAAACCGAAGATTTTCACGTTCAAGTTAGTAAACCACTGAGGCAAATTTCCAATATAAGACCGTAATCCTTGGCAATACCTTTAGTATATAAAGCCTGAAATTGTTGATTGCCAGAAGATTGCCCGTAATAAAAGTGTTTGACCTCTCAACATATGCCTGTTGTAAGGATAACTATGACTCCAAATTATAGACTGACAAAAGCAGTTAATTAAAGCTTATTTACGTTTGAGCACGAGAGTACTCAATATTTACATATTGTGCCAAAAAAAGAAACATGTTTACACAAATGGAACTCGACTATCTCCAATTTTATTTATCTCTCGGGAAACACTTATACAAGACTCACACAAACAATATGACAAAAGTTAAATCATCAAGAAATCAATGCCCAACACAGTCAAAATTATCCCTGTGAGTTACAAATCTGACACTATTTCCTATAAATTTTTTTGAAAGAAAGCGATTCAAAGTGAAATAACAAACTATAGACAGACAAATTCAATAAATTTAGAATTAAGTCATTGTTTAAGTGGGAAGTTAACTACATGGAATAGAAACAGCATTGACTGAAATGAGAAGTCAATTAAGTCAGTGGTGCACTACTATAAGTTCTCAAGTTCTTTTTTAGATTCATTAACCACATTGGCTGAGGTAGTAGTTATGTAAGTTATATTTACGATTATCTTGGTCAATTATTGTTCTATTAAAAAAGCAGTGAACTACCCATTTTTACAACAAAGTAAGTTTATAATCGATATCACATGCTTAGGATTCATAAACGCTGAAATCATAAACAGTAATTCATAAAGGATTATGAGATTGGGTATGTGTTTGATAGATTATTGGACCGATATTCAACCTCCACTCAGACGCTGATGACGAAACTTAACCTCACTCTGGAAGAGAGCTTAGCTTTCTGTTGAGCACCAAATAAGTATATCATTTTGTTGAATACTCGATATATAAAATTTTATGAGTATGAGAGGTTTTGTGGAAAGGGGATTAGTTAGTGCAACATACGTTATGAATGTGCTATCGGAAAAAGGCTTTGGTTTTTATTTTTAATGTACGAACTGTTTAGTCAACTTTATATGGAAATAAATATGGTCCTACGACAAAAAGACGCAGTAATTATGACATTGTAAACAATCACTATTAAATCTACAAAATATGATGACCGGCAAAAATCAACTGGGTAGCTTTTATCTTACAACCAGATTTAATCTGTTTCATAAACTTTGGTACATAGTAGTGTGATATAATACGTGTACAACTGAATCGTCTTGGAAAAACAAGCATGTATTGCACGAAATTGTTATCCGATTCATGTTCAATATTTCGTAGTTTCATTGACAGTTGTATCGATGGGTGATCTACTGGAAGTTTTGGCCAGTTGAAATTAATTTGCTGCATAAAATAGTTGTGCGTACACGGTTTGATCGTGTAAGTTTATTTACTGATTAGTTCAAATTTATTTAATAACTTAGTAGAAGGGTTCGTGTTTGACCAATATCTTGTATATTACTCTGTTATACTACCAAACTACCTGTTCCTACCTTTAAAACAGTTGATTGAAAACAATCTCTCTGTTCATCAGTTTCAAAATTATAAAAATGATTACAATCCACAATAAGAACTTCTCTCGGATTGGCTTTGAGGAAACCAAGAATACTCTGAAGTTCTGTAGATAACAGGTTTGCGTACAGTCCGTGTGCTAAATAAAATTCAGATTCACCATTTTTACATTTATTCAAACGTTTTTGTCGTACACAAATACGAAAGTCAAAATATCGAATCCCAGCTTCTAGTTGATCGAATAAACTTAGTGACTGTGTCACACTCCAAGGATACAATATTCGGCTTAAAAATGGACGAGGTAAACATGTATCCAAACGAGAAATAGGACCATCAGGAGAAGGAGGACTACGTTGAGTAATCGAATACGTAGATGAATTATGACTACCTAAGAACACAAGATAACCGAGGCAATTTAAATTAAATAAACAGGAATCAATATGGGTGCTGGTACCAAAGAATACTAAAAAACACAATAAACCTCCATAAGGAAATAAAGTGTATTAAATCAAACTATAAACAATATGTTACTTTTAAAAAGCAATTTACTCTGAAATTTAATAGGATATTCTGTCCCTAGGCAGTTTTAATTAATTGTTTCAGCTAAACGGCAACTTCAAAATTATTCTAGAGTGCATGGTCCGTTACTCAAGTGCTGCTATGTTGTTGCCAAATGTTTCAATAATCTCGTTTCCATTTAACAAAATTGAAAAATATCCAACATTCAGGAATAAGTTATGTAAAGAAATTAATGGTACGGATATTGATTAATATCCGGGCAAAATAACATATAAACACGGCTGATTTCATTTGATGCAAAAAGCTCAGTCAAAACAGTTAAATTTTGATACCTTGTGTAGACTAATTTATCTTTCACCTATTAATTCGGTCATTAACTTTTAACTGACCAGAAGAAATGGCATTTAAAGACAGTGTTTAGAAGGTAACTTTGTCACCCAGATCGAATGCTTTGTGAAGAAGTAGGTTATAATACTCTAGTCATACCCCTGTTTACACTAATCCTAACTTGCGTCTCAGTGGCCAACAAATTCATCATCCTAAACAGATCGATGTCACCAAATTGGTTGCAGCTTCTGTTGCAACTGAGTATCAAATCGAGCTAGGTTCGAGGCTAGCTACCGTCCCACTGAAAATTATAGATAAGCATCGGCCGCAATTGTATGACGCCATGAAAATGGCGAGTGAAGTCCCTTGCGGATTCGCAACACGTTCCACTTATTAGCACCGGGCTTCTTTAGGCTCTTTACAACTTATTGGAGCCCTACGGTCTACTCCGGTTGACCGAGTGTTTGACCACAAACGAAGACTGTTGCGTAATGAAATTGTGCAAAGCTTGTGTAAGGACCGAGAAGCCGGGTAGTCTAAGCATGCTAACAGGTTGGAGGTAGCCGCTGCATCTGGTAGCTGCCGGAAGCTCTTTCAACTCATCCGACTCATTGACAGAAAGAAGTCTGGTGTGCGTGAAACAACCTGTGAAGATGACGGGATTCCAATCACTAACATCTACCGACGTTTTGGACGATGGGAAGAGTTTTTGAGGGACAGTTCAACTGATCTGCTGCCACAGTGACAGCGATCAGACTGTCCTGTACTCCTTGGCCTTGACGACTGATCCACCAAATGAGGCGTAAGTCCGCAAGGAACTCCAACTCTTGAAGCGCAACAATTGCCAGGCCCAGATGACTTACCTCCGGAGGTTTTTAAAGATCGTCACACAAAATTCCTCGTCGTGCATTATTTGCCGACGCTGGGTCTGGTTGGAAAAAGCGGAAAGGTGGTCAGTGTATGGCATGGTGTCGTGGTATGAAAGAAAGCTGCAAAGGGCTGGCTTGTGTTGGTCCTTCACGACTCTCAGGTTGGGTTCTCAGAGATGGTGCAACACAGTGGCGATCCTGCCGTAAATTCGTTTTACTTTTTTCATAAAAGAGAGAATAATTTCTTTAACAGAAAGAAAGAACTGGGCATTCAAGCATCTAGCTAGTATCATAATATCTGTCAAACGCACATACTATAAAAACAGTTAACTGGTCGTAAAACCCATCCTCGACCGCATCTAGGCTGCAATCTGTCAAAACGTATGTGGAGATGATGAAGAGACATCGTCTCTTACACCGATTTCTTCTAACTGTAATGGAACTTTCTGATCTAACAGCACGTGTCCCACTGTTATTGGGAATCCAATCGACCAGTGCTGCCTCAGCTCTGACGCCTAGTGGACCACCAACGCCAGTAAAACCAGATGAAGATGCTATAGGGTCCCCGGACAAACGCACGTGAAACAAGCCTTTTAAAGCAACAGAAGGAGATTAAAATCGTAGTACTTCACTAGAGTCTTGAATACGTGTCTCAGATAGACAACAGACATAGATATTAGGACTTTCTGAAGACATAGCCAACACTATCTGTTGTCGGATCTGCATTAGTGTGCGAACATTTAAGGGAATCAGTTTGAATGGTATACATGGTTTCAGAAAGACGTTTTAGTGTTCGTATTCGGTGGTAGCATTCAACTTTCGGTCAGTCAGTGAATTGAGATCGTTTAGATAAGAAAGAGTTTCTATCATAGACAAATAAAATACGCGAAATGAGAACAAAGAGGAACAAATAAGTGACGCAGTATAAAAAAATAAAAGCGGATGTTGTCATATGATTGTGAATAAGATTTGTCTGAGTGAGCGTTGAAGCTAGAGAAATTTTTTTCAGTAGTAGTTATCACGTTTTTGTGAGGGCCGTGATACTTTTCGGGCACCCAAACCGAAATAGGTGATTTTCTCGGGGGAGCCACACCCCGAGACTTTGACCTAGAGGTCCAATCCACAAGGCAATGGGGCAACGTTAGAAGATTAAGTCCCATGGTATTCAGTGATCAACAATAGGTTCATACCCCACTTGTCGCCTCAGGATCTTGAAGCCCATGTGCACCATTGGTTTGGAACCAGTGTTTTCCAACTTCCCTAGGTGGATCCTCTGTATCCACCATCCCGATCAAAGCGCTGGATATTCGCTTTTCGTCCTTTCGATGTCGTGAACAACACCCCCACCGCTAGAAGGCAGTGAGTAGGACTTCCCATGGTAGTAGTTGTATACATGTGCCCATTTGAGAGCGTTTCGAGGAGAGTGGACTCTCCTCACCCTCGTGCGTACCAGGGCTTTTGGGGGCAAAAACAGGATTGAAAGTGAACGTACATTAAATACAAAGGATCTAAAACGAACTTCTGTTAAGAAACTGATGGTAATGAGGTTGAGAGCGAATATCAAATCAGTTGCTTCGGATTTACGTTGTTCTTTACAAATTAAATGTTAAAACTGCTTTCAATAATTTTGTTTTTTTATAAGATTTTCTTTTACCTTGAGTTGGACAAGCCTTGATCCTCAGTTATTTGTACTAATTAACTTAGTACAGTTTGTGGAATTCATATATTAAAGATCAGTTTTATAATACTCTTAATTCTATGGCTGACCGTAATGTACACCGTGAGCTTACAATGAAAGGTAACTAAAACAACTAATTGAAAGTAGTTTATGACAATAATATCTTAGGGAACCTCCAGAATGTGTTAAAAAGTCATTTTCAAAACACACTGAACTACAGATAAATTAGTAAACTATTAAAATAAAAACCACACGCAAATTTACAAAATTGAGACCTAACTAAATGAAGATGAAATTTATGTACTCATTTGAGTGAAACTATAATTTGATAGTTTAGCGCATTTAGTTTCAACCACTAAACCATAGGTTTGATCCCCATTACAACTTTGCATAAAAAGTCTAATACGAGAACCTCTACTTGATAATTAAGACTATATCATGAGAGAAGTGGAGGTTCATTTAGGTCACCTAACAGATCGCTATAATCCACTGATCAATGTTGCTTTAAAGCATACTAGTAGTTCATATCACTTAAACAAATTTGGAAAATTTACTTGAAACACTGGGCTATGGGCCAATTATTATTTTTCGATTTTCACCCTGTTTCCATAAGACTAGTGTTCTTGGTACCTTATAAGAGAACAACTGAAAAGCCGGATTTCGAACCCGAAAAATCCATAATATTAGAAGCACTTTAAATACAAGTGACAATAATGCAGAACAATACAACAAAAGTTTAAAGCACTAATTAGCGTGGTAAGATACATCAACTTATAGATAATCACTTGGACTTTTCTGTAAGTTATTAGAATAGGGTTCAATGACATGAGAAATCAAAGTAAAATGTACAGATTGACAAACCTGGAATGCTTATCAGATTAAGGGCCTTCTGTGATATATGAGAGGGAAGGTCAGACATCCACGAACGTGGGTTAATCATCATTCACCTACATATGTGCAAATCACTATTAGTAACTAGTAATATCTTACCGTTTGTTGGTTGGTATTATATCAACATATATGTGCTCTGAAACGTGAAAATAATTACATTAAGAGAAGACAGTAAGTTTTAGTTGGATAATCCAGTAGTGATCCCGAGGCATGAAAACTCAACATATTTGAAATCCTAGTGAATACTATCTTTTAGAGAAACATATTACACAAACAGGGATACAGTGCTTGCATAGTTTTAACTTCAAACCTTAGACATTGTGAGGAACATTTCCCTCAAACTGCCTCAGAAAGCCATATAAAAATGTTAAGCTAATAAGAACAGTCAAAAATAGTCACCGGCTTTAATGAGAACACTCACTAAAGAACATATCTCAACAAAACTTACACTGATCAAGCCAATAGAAGCAGTGCAACAATAGTGGAAAGATTTAGATTTTGCATTTAAAAGCACCATAGCATAAGACAAACAACAAAAATAATACAAAAAGGACCAAAAACAACCAGGGGAGAGTTATTTGTGAGAAAAACAAGTCAACATTTAGATAGGAACAGTAGCAAAGTTTATTAAGCCACGGAAGACGGCATATGACACTTAGTATCTTTTGACCAGACACGAACTGCTACAATTTATTCAAGCCAATTAGCTCGTTTCAATTGCCGGATCATCTTATATTCATAAATTCTTGACAGTTCACCTTTCCAGTTGCTAACTCTTAAGTGTAAGTATATCTTGTGAGCTAAGTGAATCGTTGGTTGTTTTGTACATACTCTTTTCTAATTATCATTCATATTACTCTGTACTCTCTCTCTCTCGCTGTATACAATGTAACTTCACGCTAGATTGAAGTCTACATAAATATATCACAGCCTCAATGTATAGTTTTATTTGAATGCTTCAGAACAAATGTGTGACGTCGCACTAAAATAACTTATGATTGGTCGGTTGTGTCTACTTGTTATATATTTCGTCTAAGGATAAAAATAAATAAACACCCATCTCCAGCTTTGTTCAATTAATTTTTGAAGAAAAAAAGATATTTTTTGTCTTTTTTCTGCTCTTAAAAGTATATAAGAACAAAATCTTTTATGTACATATAACATGACATTTATTAGTATACACTGACGTAGTCATGTCACTGTCGAACTCGGAGTTCGTATTTTAGGGTTAGCGATATCCGAGTATCGAGGAAATTCTGAAGAATTTTTTCCAAAGTAACACGATAATTAGTAGTCTTCCACAAAGTCTGGGGGAATATTTCGAAAAACCCAAATATTCTAAAACGTTATAGGGACTTTCGCAAATGGCTCGGAATTTCGCGGATGAACCTTAGACCAGCGAAAAATCCGGAGTATCTGTCGCACTTCCTAATAATTTTATATTGTAGCTTCCTCAAAATAGTGAAATCAAGTATTTAGACTCTTTAAATTATATATGATCGTATCATGCCCGGTCCAATTCGATTTTTAAGGCACGAGTGTAGGTTTCTTTATTATTTATGACAGAAGCATTTTGGTATAAAATGTTATAAAAAAACCAATATCTCACCATACCTATCAAGCTTGTTCCAACGTTTCAAAAGAGTACCTGTTTATCATGTGCTTATTGGCTAACATGTAAAGAATTAAGGTCATTCAACGTTCAACAAATATAGCGAAACGCTTGGTACGTAGGATCGACGTCTGGGTGGTTGGACTGTAATTCTCGATACCTGGAGGTGTGGTTCTTGTTTTATTTCTCTCAGAAACTGAAGGACAGAATAAAAGTATTGATTGGTGAGTAGCTCTCACCGAAATACTCCGGCTGGAGTTTGCATATCTTACAGTCAAGACGCTCGTTAACCCCCCTCCGATAGAGAATTACCTGGCCAAATAGTAGAGTAACAGCATTGTCAGTTAGATGTCCTCTTGATGATTCTCAAATGAGATCTTGCTTTTGTGTGGATATGTTTTTACTTTCGATGTCCTGTTACAGGTCGGGGTTGAAGTGTATAAATTGTAGTAATCAAACTAAACATCAATCTGCGAGGAGAAAAAGATCCTCGCTGTTGACTCGATACTCAGAATAGACATAGATGACATAGACTCTAAGATGAAGATTACCGCATTTGTTCTATCTGTTGTAGCGGTAAATATGCCACCCACAAGCTAACGGATTGGTAGAACGCTTCCTATCAGCTACAAACGTTTCACAGTTGACCGGCACCCTTCCACTCGTCTTACTTGCAATTCGCACTGCAGCGAAAGTTGACGTAGCTCAACCCGTCCTTGTACGTCGAAACTCACATGGATGACCACTCGAATGGGCATTCAAAAGACCCTTTAAAGTTCTTCAGCGCGAATCTAAGCACTATATAATCTGTAAGAACAGAGCTAACGATGGGATCAGCATCGATCGCATCAAATCAGCGTGCTTAGAAGGAATACTTAATCGGGTCAATTGTCCTTCGGTTCAGTTGAAAGACACGACTCCTACACTTATGATACTTCATCCGATAGCCAACACTCACGATTATACTTCGGAAGTATCTAAAAATAGACCCAAAACAACGCGTTCTGGAGAAAGTAAGGGTTCTAGAACATTCAAACAATTATTGAACGTGAGATACTAATTAACATTTTGTTTCGCCTCGATTTTTCTTTGTATCATGTATCATGATCAGATCAATTTTAATGCGCTTATATTTATGTACTCGTTCCGAAAAAACAAATTTCTTGCTTATATGCTCCATGATATGTGTATATTTAATTTTTTCTGCAAAATACCTACAAAAAACATTCTGTGGAAATCTATCTTAAGCTATAGCATTGGTATGAGTTTATTTCTCTTTTTTTGCCCGCATTGTGATTTTGCGCACGTGCGAATGTGATTCAACATGCATTTACATATTCTTTTTTTCTTTTCCAGGACGGCTGGGAAAGAAGAAAAAAGTACGATGATGTTCACGACGAACCGAACTTTTCACTGTACATTTTTCTCTACTATTATGTTGTACCACATGTCCTCTTATAGTGAGGAAAGACGACCAGACGCTGCTGAATAGTACAAGCTATCAGAAGAGTGTTTACCGACGACAAACTTGTTGGGTTTAAACTTCTGGCTGGTCACGTCTTAGGGTCTCCAAAGTCTATTGCCTATCAAATCTATCTTCGAACGTCCCCGCTTCTGAATTTTAATTTCACTAGGTGGGCTCTACTCACAGTAGAAGGTGTAACGACCGAAGAGCCAGTATTCGGTTTGAACGCAGGACTGACGAACCAACATTTATTCGAACAGGCCAGGCTGCGTTCTTTTTTATAGCTTATAAAGCGCTTTTGAGACACTCGTATTAAATTATATCAAATTACAAATTCTGTGCACAATTTAAACGGTTGTGATTTAGAGAATAGAACAAATAATATCAAAAATAAAAAATACTTCAAACGGTACAGCCTGTGCCATGCAGTCGAAATTTTGTCTAGCGCAAAGTAGCGCGCTAAACAATAAAAGAAACAGGTAATACCAAAGGGTTCGATACCTGAGAATCAATAAAAATATTCCCAACAAGATGGCATCAAATGTCCATCTGCAGGGATTCCAGTAATCCACCCAAGCAGACAGTGTATAGGTTAACAGTCACACACTGAATCACGCCCTGACCTTAAGCATAGTGAAACGCGACATTACTGTCAATAGTCCAGCAACATGCAATGGAAACTTAAGTAACAAAATATATGTCCTTAATCAAAACCACATAATAAAAGCTCGACCGAGAAGGACTGAAGAACATAAAGGGTGATCACAAGAGATCTGAACAAATGTTAAAATACACGACAGAGGGAACAAACGAGTAAATGATAGTACTGTCAAACAAAAATGCTGTGGAGGTATTTTTAACGTTCTCTTTCCGTTACAGAAGGTGTTACTGACAAACTCGAAATACTTGTGGCATCTTCAGTGAGATTAAATATTAGAATAAATATGGTGAACATGGGGTGTGAAAGAGCGTGTAATTTTCTCACAGAACGTGATTAGACATGCAACATTGTAATAGGGCCTCTAATCTGGGGTTAGTGCAAGTGAACGAATTTTTCTAGAACTCTAATATCCCTCCAGATAAAATTATGTATTTCCGTCTAGCGGAGGCGTTAATAAACCGAGTTATCATTGGTAGCAACGACCTAGGTGTTAAGCAGATGGACTGATGCACTGCGCGTAAGTCCTCGAGGCAGTAAGCTATCCAAACACTGTTAGCTTTGCCTATTAGCAATGTCAATCTACTTACTCATACTGCGGAGGTTTAGGGATTATTGGATGATTTACTAAGACATTTTTAGTACGAAAAGTATATTCGATTGTACGTCATCCTGAAATGTGTACGTATAATTCCGCTTCCCATATGTTTTTCTGAGTATCTGTAAAAGTAAGGGAGTCATACATTTTACTTGTAACAGCACTAACCCGTACAACTATGTTGTCTTAGAGTCGTCAGCTGCAGGACATTGTTACAGAAGTAGATAGAAAAAAAGCTTAATTTGTGCGTAGACGTCCTAAGTACATATTATCTACAATTAACCGAATTATTACTTTCTTACACACCAGAGAACTTTTTTAATTCATCCAATGATAAGAATATTGTCTTCCGAAAGAAGTCGAATAGGTCGTCGAAATACTTTTCGAAGCATGTAACATAGTATAATAACAAAACGAATAGAGAAAAATTATGTTAATCAAATATATTAGCCTACATACTGCAAGCCATAGGTCCACAATTCAGAAGTTCGATACAGAAAATTCCTTCAGCCGCAAGACGGACAAAGACGCATGATACACGTAGTTATGTCATTCGTCGTTTACTGAAACATATAGATATCCTAAAGGTACACATACTAAGAAGTTGAGATAGCTTATAAATAAACTGCCGACCTGAAGTACTTTAAGAAGCGGCAATTTCAAATCCGAGCCAGATTTTATACCGTGCCAATCTGTTTCGATGATCGGGAGCTTACGGGACTTGTATAAAAGTGGTGTGACTTCCTAGTATCTAAGCAACTTAAATCCACAGGAGCACGAAAGTTTCAATCTTAAAACAATTCCCAGAGGACGTCAGTATACCTGTAGGTTACCTGTTCAGTCACCCTATAGAATCTCAGAAACGTATAGAAGAATGTAAACTTACCACTCTCTCCTCAAACTTATGATTATTTTATAACGAAGACTAAATCTGCTTCAGGTTAGTCCCACTACCCCAATACTGTCGAACGTAATGGAAAGCCTGGCTAATGGCTAAATGAAAGAGATGATGAACAAAGGCATCCTATTTTAAGCTCAAAATAGGATTAGAAATTACAGGCAATCAAAATCCGTCATTCTCGTAGTGCAAATGGCTGAACGGCCTTCTGATACCAAAGGATATCGGCTAATGTAATTTTCCTCAAATTTTGAAAGTATTTTAATACAGTACTGCAAGTATTACTGATAATAAGGGATCGGAAAATACATTTATTCAGCCAATGTTTACCTAGAATCCAGAATCACCTGGAAAACCTGATGTCATGCGCTGAAGTAGATACAATTCTTGACATTTCTAAGGTCTTGATATCAGGAGTTTTACAAAGCGCCATTTTAATACAGTCCTCTTGCAGATTCTTAATAAGAATCTTCTACATGAAACTAGCTCATTAACTCGTATTTCGGCTAAAATTTAACTTGTCGCAATGCCATGTTATGAGCACCCAACTCCTGTGGGAATAATGAACTTTTGTAGTTTGCGAATATTTGCTCAGAAATACCAACCACGGAAGGATTAAAAATAATCTCATAACACTTGAGGGGTGAAGCTTAAGCGAATTCTGTCCTTTACTTTATACAGAGGCAGCTTGGTGCAGTTATCAGAGTTATTTTTGATACTCATTAGAATGGACCTACAAAATCAACATGAAATGCACCATTGTAATCTAAAAGACAGTGAGATTTAACGTTAATATTGGTACTGAAAACTAGACTGTGCATTTCCATTGCAACCATATTATTTAAAGTTTCAGAATATTTTTGCTTGTTCTAGTACTTCAAAACTAACAACACGACCTTGAATGTTTTTAAAAGTATATTTACCTACGCAACACGGTTGTGGTATTTCTTATGGGTTTGGAATGTTACACAGTGTTGGAATGTATAGGAGAAGGCTCTTTCGGACGTGTTTTTCGTGGAAGAAGAAAGGAGACTGGACAGGTTGGATTAAAACTCTAACAGTGAATGTGTGTATTCTTAAAGATTGTAGCTATGAAGTTTATACCGAAAGTTGGGAAGAGCGAAAACGCTCTTAAAAATCTCAAACTTGAGATTGAGATTATGCGATCAATGCATCACACTAACATAATAGAAATGCAAGACTCGTTTGAGACAGAAAGAGAGGTTAATTCCTAATATCATTCCCATTAATATACACTTTAGGTTGTTGCAATTACTGATTATGCCGAAGGAGATCTCTTTCAAATAATTGAAGATGATGGCCGACTTTCCGAAGAAACGGTAGTTTTATTGACACTTTCATATATACTTCTCAGGTTAGATCCGTGGCTTGTCAGTTGGTATCTGCACTTTATTACCTTCATGCCAACCGTATTTTGCATAGAG